TATAGAGAGAGATGGATACAAAATCGTTGCGGAATTTAAAATCGTTGCGAGATTCGGTGGTTTGAAAGGCGATGTTGGAAACTGAATTTTTAATTTGATTGGAACGAGGAAATCGGGAATGATTTAGAAATTTAAAATTGTAAAAGAGTTGCAACTATGAGTTGCATCGAAGAAGAAACGAGAAGCGTAGTCGTTTCAAATGGGTTGACAACGAGTGCTCAGGAGTTGACAATTAATCAAAATTTGCTAATTGACTCGAAATTGTTATTTATCGGCTCCAAAATCGGTGAAGGAGCTCATGGCAAAGTATACGAAGGAAGGTCAGTCTCAATCACTCTGTAAATTAATAATATTTTTTTTATTAATTTACTCAGAATTATTTTCTCAGACGCCAAAATAAACAGAGGAAAAAAATCATGATTGACGGTAGTTTAGTGGTAAATATTTTTATTGTAATCCGAACTTTTTTGTAGTTAATTATCCCCCCCCCAACCCACGAAAAATAATAATAATAATAACAAGCTTAATTTGTTGTTTTAGATAGAAAATGTATTTTATGTTCTTATGCGAATGTAACAGTAAAAAAATATAAGAACATTGCTTTCCTTTGTGATAATTATTATAGTTTCCGTCAGAAAATTTTGGAGGGAAGACAGAAATGCTGGAGATGGTATTTTAATTTGTAGAGTTTTCAAGTGAAACAATGTGATGGAATAAATTGTACCAGTTTTGGTTGTTCAATAAGGGTACTGTCCTAGTTTCATAAGGATGAGTGAGTCTAAATTTTTTTTTTCAGGTATGGTGATCGGATTGTCGCCATTAAAGTCCTTCACCGTGGGAGTACTGCTGAGGAAAGAGATGCCCTCGAGGGTCGTTTTACTCGGGAGGTTAACTTGATGTCTCGAGTGAAACATGAGAATCTTGTCAAGGTGATTATTCGGGAAAAAAGAGAGAAAAGAAATGCAATATGCAGACTTTCCATTGATGGAATCTGTTGTATATTTGTTTCTCAACTTGACAGTTCTTTGGAGCTTGTAAGGACCCGCTGATGGCTATGGTAACCGAGCTATTACCTGGAATGTCCCTCCGCAAGTATTTACTTAGCATCCATCCAAAAATTTTAGACCTTCCTGTGGCTTTGAATTTTGCACTGGACATTGCTCGTGCATGGATTGTCTACACGCCAACGGGATTATACACAGAGATCTTAAGCCTGGTATTTCTTGAATATTTTTTCTCAGTTATGTTAAATGCTCCTTTATTGAAAAGGTTGTTAGCTGGCCTGTATGATTCAAACCCGTTCAATGATTCCTTATGGAAGCATCTGGATCATCTCTTTCTCCCTCTCATGCATATGCATGTGTGCATGAATTCTTCACAGTTGTTAAATAATCTTCACACTGTGCATGAGTGGCTTAGATGATTTTCTTTTTGAACTATTTGCTGGTTCAGTGATCTCTTTTTTTAGTGTCTGTTTCCTGTGTTTTGTTTGAACAATATTATTCCTGATTTTATATAGGAAATAGTATGAAAATTTGAAAACCGGAGCACTTGAAGGTGCAATCACAGGCATTTCACTGGCTGATGCCTATCTGAGTGAATCACAGCCTCGAGCTGAGTGTGACTTGCAATTTACTCTTTGGTGTAATACATTGGTTCACGGTTCCGTATGTATTTATTGATTCCTTTTGCTAATTGCAAATGTATACGGAAATTTATCAATGCAGACAACTTGTTGCTTACAGCAAACCAGAAGAACGTGAAACTTGCAGATTTTGGTCTTGCTAGGGAAGAATCTGTGACTGAAATGATGACTGCAGAGACCGGGACTTATCGCTGGATGGCCTCCGAGGTTTGTACGATTGTGCCACTACTGTATTAACAAAAGAGAGATTTTTTTTCCTTAGTGAAGATTGAAACTTACACTTTTGTTTAATTATTTGAGTGACGTTAGTTATGGAAATCATCACGTTTTAATCAAAAAGAGAAGTTTTAATGCTGATATTCACACACATTTATTTATATGTTTATATTTTAATACTTCAATTGCGATTGCCTTTAACTACAGACAGAATGACCTACTCTTTATGCCCAAAAAATGACTATTATTGCCGTTTGCTTTAGAGATTACTTGGCAATCCCCCTTTTGGTAATTTGTTGATTAGCATGTACAAATGGTTTGTGATTTTGGTTGTAGTTGTATAGCACCGTGACATTGCGCCAGGGGGAGAAAAAGCATTACAATAACAAGGTTGATGTCTACAGCTTTGGAATTGTCTTGTGGGAATTATTGACCAATCGCATGCCATTTGAAGGCATGTCCAATTTGCAGGCTGCTTATGCCGCTGCTTTTAAGGTGCAAGTCTTTTAGTGAACATAATTACGCATCATAGATGTTTAAACTAACTGATAACTAACTAGGTTGGTGCTATATGACTGCAGCAAGAACGACCCATCCTTCCGAAGGATATAACCCCTGATTTGGCATTTATAATACAGTCATGTTGGGTTGAGGACCCTAATATGAGGTCCAGCTTCAGTCAGATAGTCCGTATGCTGAATGCTTTTCTCTCCACACTTACACCTCCTCCGTCATCAATACCCGAATCAGACACCAGCGAGAAAGCAGGAACAAGTAACGGAACCATAACCGAGTTATCCGTTCGTGCGAAAGGGAAATTTGCTTTCCTACACCAATTGTTCGCTGCGAAGAGGACAAGGAACTCATAACTGGTGGTAATTTTTTTGGCAAAAAGTTTCTTTTCATTCCAACTCAAGAAAGTTTTTAATTGGACCTCCTCGTAGTAAGGATTTTAGTGATGATTTTCTCGTGAAGGAATTGTAGGAAGTTGGCAAAATAAAAGAATAACGGAGCACCATTTACATTGTCTAGTCGACCTCGTTGGTTTCGAATTTTCCCACTTCATATTAAATGTTTCCCCTTCAGCAGGAAAATGGTTATTACAGTGCAACTTTAACAACTTGCTTTTAGCTTGGGTTGTAGTTCAAGTGACTGGCTAAGAGCTTGTTTCCTAAAGAGATGTTATGTATGCATTTCATGTGATACATTTATAGATTCCACCGATGCTCAGTTTCGTGCTTTAGGCATTGTTAACGAAGCCGGAGATGCAGTGAATGGATAGGTTTGTGCTTTTCATACCATGCAGTCGACTCCAATGATGATACATGAGGAGCAAAAGTAGCTTCCTTGGTATGATGCTAAATGTTTCTTTTTGTCCGCCTTTGCTCGTCCAACTTGCCATTGCAGCTTTGATCCTCGGCGTCTTGTACTTGGGAAGCGTTGTGGATTGATGTTGTTATGGGTTGCATTTTTGTGCGTTACCATCACCATTATCCATTTGAGTTGGAGCCGAAGGTGTTAAAGCTAGGAAGAACACCTCCTGGGAAAAAAACAAAGAGAACAGAAATGGAGTGGTAGAAAACAGAATGTAGGCTAAAGACTATGCTTAGCCCTTGGTCAAAAGACCTGTTAATATAGCCACGCCGATTGCCTCCTTCATGGATTAACACTGATAGTTTAACCCAACAAAGGACAGCTGGCTTAACCGCCTAACAAATTACCAGAAACAGTTAGCAAAACCAACAGCTAATGGCTCCAGCTGACAACCCTTCCACCTGGCAATGCTCAATTCTTAACTGAAGGCATTGACATGCATTTGGACGGTGAGATTCAAATACTAAATCCGCTTATGTATTTTAATTATTTTTTCAATTGTGTTTTATTTCATGTTATATATTATTCAATAATAATAACAACAACAATAAAAATAATAATTCATCCAAACAACAACAATAAAACCCTATTCCCATATACAATGGGGGTAAGGGGGAGGTAGGGTAGTAGGCTGCCCCAACACCAGGTTGAAAGCAGCTTCCGTGGAAGACTTCCGGCAGTCAGAAAATTAAAAATAAAGATAGAATGCAATGCATGTATAGTTAAATAAATAAATACATAGTTGAACAGTGTTAATAATGTAGTATTCAAAAATGCGCGTCTGTAAATGGGAAGTAATCCCTGCAAATAAATCCCTGCATAAGAATCCCTGCAATAGACAGAAACGTAAGAACCGACAAAATTTAAAGAGGAAACATGAAGAAAATGATACACAGAAGTCAACGATAGCAAGTTACGAGAAGGAATAAATAAAATGGGTTAAAACCTAAACAAAGGCAACACTACTCCGCTACCCTAGTTCTAAGCCTCCATAATTTCCATTGACAGAAACGTATAAAAAGTATAAGTCATGTAAATTACTACAAAGACATTAAAAGAAGACAGATATGATACACCTTACGGATGTGACCCGCACTACTCGGCTACCCTGGTCTTAAGTCTCCATAATTTCCTATTAGAGGTCATGTCTTCGGTAAAGTCTGAATCATTCAAATCAAATTTTAAATGAGTTTTGTGAAAAATCAATTTTATGTAAAGAGAGAAGTAAAATGCGAACATTTTGACATCTATCTTATAGTAAATGACGAATAGTGAGAGACAACGATTGACTACAAGCGACAATAAAAAAAATCTAATGTCGAAAGTGTAAATCTTTTAAAAGTTCAATATTAATCTATACACCTCTAAATTTCAAAAAGATTTATTCACATTATTACACTGTTACAATTTAACGACCCCTAAATATAAATGAAAACAGAATCAAAATTTAATGTTATTACTAGAACAATTAAAAGTTTAATAATATAAATAATTTAAAGATTAATGATAATGATGTAATTGTACTTTTTTTATTGGTTGAATAATTTTCGAAGAGAATATTTTATGTTAGGTTGAGTATAAAATTTAGTCTTCGAGAGTCTAGATCGTGTCATCTCCCACGCCCTAAATATGAAGGTTGTTGAAATAATAATTTCATTTCGAGACTGGGTCCAAAACTAAGTGGACGGTTGAGATTTTCTGCCACGATTTCCGTGTCGTGTATTTAAGCAAAATTAATTCTTTTCTGGACATGGAGAGTCAATGGCTTTTGAATTTTGAGCCAACATATTCCACAGTGAACCACACAGCCTCTTTTTCCAAGAGAAACCATCGGATTAAATCGTGATCTTTCAGATCTTCCTCCAGATTAAAAGTTGAACCCTTGATTCTCTCATCGCCGTATCTCTAATGAATCTTCTCCCTCGGGTCAACTCCAGATTTTCTCTCAAAGAACTACACGAAAATCTCCGTGCTTTGGTTTGCTGCGCCTTTTGATTATCTTCACAGCTCATTCGATCTCTTCGGATTTCAGTGGAATAGGGAAATTGGGTTTTCTTTTTTCAGCCGAGCTTATTCGGTGTTCTTGGCATGATTCTGATCGAGGAAAAAGTTGGTGTTTGAAGTGGGAACTCTGGTGATGAAAAAATGGGGGAAAATGGAAATGCAGCTGCTCAGCACACTGCAATCAACGCAGTTCAGGCATTAGGGAGAGGATTTGATGTCAACTTCGACACGAGGCTGTTATACTGTAAAGGTGTTGCGGGTTCTAGGATTGTCGAAATCGACGAGGAACACGTTAGGGATGTCTACTTGGACGATCAACTTGTTCTGCACAATATTTCCAGAGATATCAAGAACTCCCAGGAGCCTATTGGACGTCATAGTTCTGGGGTTTGTAATTTTCATGAGGTAAAATAATGTTGTGATTTTCTGGGTTTAGCTCAAAGTAAAAGTTTGGAGATTTCTTACGAGGTTGTAGTCTGTAAGAATTGATATTTGTCATTTGTGTTGATTGTTGGCCTAGAGTAGTTAAATAGTTTCTTACACGGTATGTCCTATGGAAGTATACATGTAATGTTTGATTGTTGGTGTTTGATTACAATGATTTGCTATGACTTGATTTCTTTCAAAATGATTTGTATTGAGTTTAACAATTTCTAATTTACTTTTTTCTTAACTACCAACTGCAGATGGTGGAGTATTTTAATAAAAAAACTAATGTGTCTGGTAGTTTTCCGCTTGGTAGTTTCAATTCTGCATTTAGCTTTACCGGTTCGATGAATATTGATTTCGCGGCCACGAAGATGCTCTCTGTAGATGGATTTTACATTCCACTTGCCAAGTTTGAGCTTACAATGTCCCAGTTGGTGTTGCAAGAAAAGGTTAAACAAGCCGTCCCAATATCTTGGGATCCATTATCCTCGGCAAGGTATGCACTATTTGTTGGTTAATGTAAAATTCTTATAATATAGGTTCAAGTCCTAATTTTGCTCTATTTTACAGTTTCATCGAAACTTTCGGGACACACGTCATCACTTCTGTAACTATTGGTGGTAAAGATGAGATATACGTCAAACAACATCACTCTTCACCCTTATCTACCATGGAGATTAAAAACTATGTGCAGGATATTGGAAACCAGAGATTCTCTGACAATGAAATTCATAGAAGTTCAGGTCAAATCAAATTGAAGGATAAGGCTAGTTCCACACTGTTTCTATCATATTTTTATCATCCTTCATCGTCCATTGCTGTCTTGATATAATTTCTAAACTTTACAGGGTGTTGATCCTGGATTATTCAACAGTCAAGGGATATACCCTCAACCTTCCAACGCGCCATATCTTAATGGAAAAGAGGTATTTAGATGGCTTGTCGGTTTTATTAGTGAAAACTGGAAATCAATTTGCTTATGAATATTTGATATCTTTGGGGTGCTATTCTGTTACAGTTTACTGTTTGATCAGATAATGCAGCCACCCCATGCAGTGGAATTAAGCTTTATTTTGGTGGTGGTTCTTGTGATTATTCCTACTGTTCCTCTTAGTTTTTTGTATGGCAATGATGTAAAGTAATGACATCATCGATCACGATTGAGTGTACAGGAGAGGCTAACATGCATAGTTTATTGCTTTTAGTTGCCAAAAGATATTCAAGTATATCTTGCTTTAGGATTAGGTTTGGTGGTTCAATTTTTGTATGGTTTGAAAGTGGATATGGCAGATTGCCTCTGGTTTCCAAAAGATGTTATTTACATGATTTACCTGGAACTCATTCTTTTTTGTATATCATTTACTCTTAGCCAATTCCAGATGTGTGACTAGATGTTTTTGCAGGATGTTACGGTCATTTTCCGGAGGAGGGGAGGAGATGATCTGGAACAAAATCACACTCAATGGGTAAAAACCGTCCGCTCCTCTCCTGATGTCATTGAAATGACTTTCTATCCTATTACTGCTCTGCTTGACGGAGTAGCTGGAAAGGAGCATCTGGCTCGTGCCATGAGTCTTTATCTTGAATGTAATACAACCAAATCTTTGTGGTTTATCAGATGCAATTTGTTCTTTCTCATTCGTTATGTTGCCAACGATTCTTTTTTACTAACCTAAATATTCGGTCTGATTCTCTGCAGACAAGCCTCCGATTGAAGAACTGAGATGTTTTTTGGAGTTCCAGATTCCTAGGATATGGGCTCCTGTAAAGGACAAGATTCCCGGCCACCAAAGGAAGGAACCCGTTTGCCCATCTTTGCAATTCAGCATGATGGGGCAAAAACTTTACGTCAGCCAAGAGCAGGTATATGTTTATCCAACATGTCTTAATTGTTAAATATCAAGCTCTTTCACTTGTTGGTGAGACTAGTTCGTAAGAATCACAACTGGCTTAAGATCACAATTAATTAAGGCTTCTTGATATTTTTGTGCTGTGTGTCTTTGCGTATATGTTATAGAATAGTGAGACTAGTTCTCAGTCCCCGCGTATGGCTCATTGTCACGTAACGTTTAATAATGAAAGGCACCTTCTTGATGTCTATCGCTACAAGAAACTTTACCAGCTTTAATAGCCGTTGTTTTTGCTCCCGAGTGTTGAGTTGAGCTTTATCTAGCTTGATAACAATCGCACATCTTCTACGTGCATTCTAAGAGCCATAACTATGGTATGTAATATAACTAAAATGCAAAATGGAAGTAAATTGTTATAAAAATATTTTGCGTTTAATCTAGGCTTATTGTAAATTGCAGGTCTCAGTTGGACGTAAACCCGTAACAGGCTTGCGATTACGACTAGAAGGAACCAAGCAAAACCGTCTTAGCATTCATCTTCAACACTTGGCTTCTCTTCCAAAGATCCTTCTTCCGCACTGGGAAACCCATGTTGCAATTGGTGCTCCCAAGTGGCAGGGACCGGAGGAGCAAGATAGCAGATGGTTTGAACCTGTGAAATGGAAGAATTTTTCTCATGTCAGTACTGCACCAATCGAAAACCCCGAGACCTTTATAGGTGATCTCTCTGGTGTCTACACTGTCACTGGGGCACAACTTGGGGTCTGGAATTTTGGGTCTAGAAACGTCTTGTACATGAGGCTCTTGTATTCTAGGCTTCCGGGTTGCACGATAAGAAGATCTTTGTGGGACCATTGTCCAAATGACAAATCAAAGAAAGTTGCTGCTAATATGAGTGCTACCAACTCCGGCGACTCAAGCTCCGGCTCACAAGAAAATGTGGTAAATAAGTTAGCAAAATTTGTTGATACGTCTGAGATGAGCAAGGGGCCACAAGATCCTCCGGGTCACTGGTTGGTCACCGGTGGAAAGCTTGGTGTCGAGAAAGGCAAAATTGTGTTGCGAGTGAAGTACTCCTTGCTGAATTATTGAATCTCTTGGCACCAGCTTCAATGTTTTTCCATTTTGCATGTTCGTATGTGTTAATTGTGCTTGTAAAGAATTGTGCTGTGATGAATCTGGTTTGAGTGGGTTAGGACATGTATGCAAAAGATGGAGTTTCTTCCTGTTGCAAGTGCTTTGAATTTTGTAGGGGGGAAAACCCTTTGAAGTTGTCTCATTTTATCTACATGAGGAAACGTTCTTGTACAAATCACCCCTTTTGCGGCTACTGATGTCAACAAATTTTGTCTAGAATGAAGCAGCTTTGAACGATTGTCCAATCTGCGAACCATGAGACACTGCATCGTAGTCGGCTGTAGTCCTACCGTTTCTGGCAGTGACTTCGAAGTAGAGGCTTTGGGTATATTCCTTATTGCTTGCAGAATCATACCTGAAAATGCTCAAAGTTATAAATTAGAGCAAGTTGGAATATATTTTATGTTTTCAGGGGTGAAGTATAGCATCCAAGTTGCAGGTTGTTTTAATGAAATTTCGCTTCCATTAACGAAAAGGATAAATATCAGTTCACTTTTATTTATTTATTATAAAGTTCAAAAGGGCAGGATATATTATTACAAGATGTGCCAATCAAAATAGTTTTCTTGTTATGTTGATGTCAAAAGTGGGATGTAAAACCGAATGAAAACATGGCAGCTACCTGCACCAAGCTTATCAAACAGCTGGTTTGCTACGTACCCATATTCTCTTTTAGGCTTTTCACACTGCATGCTCTGGTAGCCAAACTAAACCATCACTCAAGATCTTACCTTTTTAAAGATATTTCTTTTACACATTTAATATCTGATCATTGGGGAATTAATTAGGGCGAAATTAGAGGTGTTTAATGAGTTAGCACTATGTCAAAACTAGGTAAAAGCTCCACTTAAGTTGACTCGGCTCATGGCCTTAACGAGTTGGGTCGAGAAAAGTCCAACTCGACTTGGTAAGTTCGCGAGTAGCTCGTTAATTTTTTATATAATTATCTTAAAAATTTATTTCATTTAAAAAGTGTTAATTTATTAATAAATAATAAAAAAAATGATAAATTGTTAATCTATTAATTCTGTAATAAACAACAAAAATTACTAAATCATTAATTAATATTTTACAACACTAAAAAATAAATAAACGGCCTTCGTGGTAAAATAATTGTTATTATTTTTGAGGACTAGGGTTTGAGGGTTCAATGTTAAAAGATTGAAAGTTATTTTTGAACAAATATTATCTTATATTAATTCCGGATTAATTAAAATTTTAACTAGCAACTAATCAAATTGAGTAATAAAATTTTCTTAACGCTGCCCAGCTCGCTACCTCTAGGTGAAAACACTAGAAACAGGTTCATATAAATAAAGCATTCCATGTCCCCTTCTTTACTCACTGCACAACTAGGGTTTAGACTTAAGAGCTATGATGAGGGGGAGAATTTTGAGACTCTGGCAAGACTTGAGACATCTCCGTTTTAAAACCTCGGTAACACTTTTGCTTAAATAGTTGGTATTGGGACATAATTAGGAGAGAGAATCCCGCGGGTGAAAGCGGTCCCCGGTTCGGATACCAAGCCACCACCTATAGGCAGTCCTGTGTTTTTGCCTTATCCTATAGGCAAAGGAGATGCTTTTTCTATGTTCCTGTCTACTTGGAATCTTCAACCCAGAACAACTTCCAAACTCCTTTGTGTTGCAAAACATGAACACCAAACTATTCCCTTTAGGGTTTTGACAACACTTGTTCTTGTTTTTGTCTCAAAGTTTCAAGCGGTGAGCTTCAACTATGTTACCATCAACTGTGAATATGAATTACCGGCGGCTGCTTGAGACAGAACTGGGTCCGGCAAGTGGGAACAAAACCCACTACGATTCTCACACGCGCGACATGAATCTCGACAAAAACCAGGCGGTTATAATGGCAGCTCTTTTATGCACCGTGATGTGCGCCTTGGGGTTGAACGCCATAGTCCGATGCGTGCTACGTTGCATGCGCCGCGAGAGTCCGGAACAAGCCGCGACTCGCCTCGCGATGACCGGACTCGAAAAACGCGATCTGCAAGGAATCCCGGTGGCCGTTTACGGAACGGACGGGAGCTTTACGTCCACTGAATGCCCCATTTGCCTTGCAGAGTTCCTCGACGGGGAGAAGGTACGAAAACTGCCAAAATGTAAGCATGGGTTCCATGTGAGGTGCATAGACAAATGGCTGCTGTCACACTCGTCGTGCCCCAATTGTCGCCATTCCTTACTTCAACATAAGACACCAAATAAGGATGTACTTGTTCAAGAGGGATGCTGATGTATACAATGGGGGTTGTTGTTTGAGTTTGGAGAGCTTTAGGGACCAAATTGCAAATGCTGTATGCTCCCCTTTTTCTTTCTTCCTTCGTAAGTTTGAGGTTACTACATCAAAGTAAAAGTGTTCAAGCAATTTGCAATTTGCAAGTTTCAAGTTTCTTTTTCAATCTTTTGGTGTTAATCTCTTAGTAAAAGTGTGGTCCATCTTTCAACTTGCAGTCTTTAAAGGTCTTGGACTTAATAATTAATTTCTTTATGTATTTTTGCATTAATTTTAATTTGTCTCGTATTTTCTCATCAATTTATCCCTCGGAGTTGTTTAATTTTATCATCCAATACCTTACACCTAGCTTAAAACCCTAAACCCTTAAGTCTAAAACCCTAAACCCTTAAGTTCAAAACCCTAAACAATAGAAAGATATTTTAAACATTGATGAAATTAAATAATTTCGAGGACTAAATTGATGAAAAAATATTATAGAGACGAAAATGATAAATTAAATCTACTACTGATAATGATCCTTAGGCTTAAGAAATCAAAGTTGAATGATTAAATGTACAATTTACCTAAAAGTAAAAACGAGTAACAGATCCTGAACGGCTATTTTGTGATGATAGTTAAAAAACCACATACCAACAGCTCTTAGTTTTGTTTCACTGAGATGGATGCAGTCTCGAACTAAAAAAATGCAACATTCCTGGAAATTAAACATCCAAGCCAGAACCAAGATCTTCAATTTCAAGCTCAAAGCCACCCGAATCTTACCCGCCGGCGGCTTCCACCGCTTCTCCCTCCTCCTGAGGCTCCACAACTTCATCCTCAAACTCCGGCTGAAATCGGGCTCATCAGTTTCAATCTCCACACAACAAAAACGAACCTTCAAATCCACATTTCTCGGTCTCCTCGACAAACTCCGACTTCGCCGTGCAAACAGAGCGTTAACAATCCGAAACCCAGATCTTAAATCTCTTCTGAATCCCTTCGCTAACAAGGTATTGGGTAATTCGTACTTCTTTTTGTTTTTTCTTTTGCGTCGAAACAGCTTTGATCTTCGTTTATTTTGCCGTAGGATTCGAACGGCGGCGGTTCTTTTGTGATTGCGATTATTGCTTTGTTGCTGCAATCGAATCGTCATGGAATTATAACTCTCGCTTCGCTTGTTTTGTTGTACTGGATTCTGTATTTCGAGAAGCATTTAAGGGGGGAAACGAGAAGCTTTTGGATGGTCTTGATTGCCGGAGCAGCTGGTTCTTGGGTTGCTTTCAATTTAGGCAAAGGTTACGTTTCGAACTATGCGTGGAATTGGATTGAGTGGAGCTATGGATACACTGTTTTTTCTGGGTTTTTGTATGCAGCTTTGAAGGTGATCTTCGCTCTCGTCAAAACCATCTTCTATTTTTCAAAGCTCAAATGAAAATATTGGCCTTAGATTTGTAGAATTTTTTTTATGTAATTACTGATCTTGATTGATGTAACTCAACATTATTGTGTTCATTTAAAAATGTTTAAATTTATGGAGGATCAACAATGAATTATGTATTTTAGAGAGTAAACATCATTTAAAAATAGGATAAACTACACTTGTATAATTACACAATTGGTCTTTGTTACTTATATTTTCTTTTATTTTGATCCTAATTTTAATAAATTAAAATAAATTTAACTATCGAATCAATAGGTGTCATATATCTTTAGTGACAAGTGTCATCATTTGATTAGAGAATTAAATTTATTTTAATTTAATATATTTATTTTTTTCAATCAGAGGGTCACACGTGACAAATATTTGTACCTTTATACTCAATAAGAATCAGCTGCAATTTCTGGAAAACAGATATCAAGATCACCTAGTAACGGCTTAACGGGATGGTTACTCCGGCAAACAGGTTAAGTTTCTCACCATAATTGCCACCAAGAAACAAGCTATCAGTTTCTCCGGTGAGACCGCCTGCTTTGGCATTGACCCTTCCACCCCAAGTTTGTTCCTCCTCTCATTACAGGAACTTGAAATGCAACATGCTCAGCAGCAAGCCTTAGAAGGACTAGTCTGCAAGGATTTTGATTGTTTATAAAAATTATTCATTTATTCATATGTATGTAAAGAGTGCAAATATGATCTGAAAATGGATTTATTATTTTCTTCTAATCCAGATTGCTTATAGTAAATAATAGATATTTGGTTTCGGATTCGGGTTTTATGAATGGAAAAATAATGTCTGGAGAAATTATAGCACATAGGAACTGGAATGTCATTAAGGATCATTCTCATTTTCACCGTTTTCTTCATCCCCGGTATCATGTTCTTTTGTGGCAGAAGGGGAACATGTATCACCTTGTGGCTCACCTGCATTAACGATCTGTGGCGGAGCATGTGATGTTGAGATCGCTTGCTGATCAGATACCAAGCTTGTAAGACCATTCTCCTTGAGGTAAGCTTCCAACCGGAGGCCTGCAACTCTAAGAAGATTCGTCATGCTCATGCGGGTGGAACCTAATTGCCAATTGTCATCATGACCAGGGTCGCAGTTCAAGTCTATCTGTCCCTCGTTGGCTTCAACCGATTTCGGGACTAGGCTGTTGCTCCGGCTCTTGGATTCTAACTCACTAGCTGACCTTGCTTCTTTCTCAAAAGGATGGCGTAGTGATGGTACATGTTTAGAGCTCCTGTCGACTTCAGCTTCTTCTCTGGATCACATGCTTGCTGATTCCTTAGAGCAATCTCCGCTTCACGCTCCGACTGCCGCTTCTTCTTGCGCATCATGAGGGTTTTAAAACGACGTTTTACCGTCATGCACACAGTGCACGTGCACGTTGGCTTGTGTTTTCCCTTCCCACTTGGAGGCTGGATGCACACAATGCAAGAGCAACCGGGACGATGCCTCGGGTGTTTAGTTGTGGTCGCCACTGTCATAGTGCCGGAATCAGCTACATTATCTCCAAGGATTGCAGCATTGGCTAAAGTGTTCAAACCAGGTGATGACTGATTCTCCTGGGTTTGCCTATGAAATGCTACCATTCTCCTTTTTTTGAAATCTGTATATAAAATATAGCTTAAATGTAGCCTATGGAATAAGCATGTGATATCAAGATATAAATTTACATATATTTATAGTCTTGAAGAAATCAATATGCACAAGCACTGTGTTACATATATAGTCTTCAAGTTAAAATATTCTTAGAATGTACCTCTGTCCAATCTAAGAAGATTTTCTAGCTCCCTTGGGGTGAGTTCATCTGGTGCGGAACATGAAGACCTGGCAAAAAAATTGCAAAGAAAATAAAAAAAAAAACTTTCGGAACTCGTTAAAGATAACAAATAGGATTACAAGGGAACAACGGTTCCGAAAATGCCGACCTGCTTTGGTCCCATTTGTTGTCTGCACATTTCCACTTAGGTGGAAGAAGAGCATCAACAGGCAGCCTTCTCCATTTATAACAACTATCACACTGGGTCCATTGCTCTTGTCCCCTGAGGATCATTCTTACAATTCAAGACTAAGTAGATATACCCTAGTAACCCGACCATAAACTTGAGATATAAATCGATCCTTTCAAGTGCAGAAACAAAAATGTAGACAGAAATGCATATGCTCACCCTGTTGAACGGACGGCAAAGATGCTCCTCTTCCCGAAAACTGGAGGTTCCTGTGTTCATAAAATCCTACATAAGCATATTCCCACCTTATGTCTACCACATGGTTAATTAGAAAGATCAGTTAATGGTGCAATTGATGACTGCATTCTTCCAGGAAATGTACTCACATCATATTCTTCAAAATCATGATCCTCAATCGTCACAATACTTGGCTTGATACCTGGGGGAGGGTGGAGCAAATCCTGAGCCTCTTCCCAAGTAAGTTTCAGCTCCAAAGCATCCTGACCGTCAGTTAGCAACCTCTTGCTTTTGGACCCGATATTCCAACTTCTTTTTTCTCTCGGCAGTTAACATCGGTGATAGTAATAAGTCCTCCCTTGTCCTATCCTCATTACTTCCAACTGAACTCAAATGTTTGGACAGTCCATTAAGGCGGGTATCTGTGCTTCCCTTCAATGACTGAAGAAGGCCAGAGTAACCTCTAATCATGGGCAGATTCTTGAAAACACCCGAAAAGGAACTTTCATTTGATAGAGTTCCATTAGGAATGGCAGACGGTATGGTTTCCTGTATATTTGATGGTATATATATCAATATTATATGATCAAATTTGGTAAAATGGAAGGTGACTGTTACATTACCTGAGCTGCTGCAGTGTTTGTTGCTTTACGAAACCCCATAACAAGCTTTCCTTCTGGATCCTTACGGCTAAATGTGACTGTGCAAGAGAACCATAAGTGAAGTTACTCAATGAGAGCTAAAAACAAAATATTTGGATTGCTCCTTCCATGATAAGGTTCAGAGTGGTACCAGTATCTCCAGCTTGCAACTGCATGGACTGTATGCAAGGAGTCACACCCTCCAAAACATACATCCTGCTGTTATTATTAGGCCAGAATCTGAACTGAAACACCCATTCCTTTCCCTTCACATCTTGAATCCTGAGGGAAAGACCCTCTGGTTGAGATATGGGTGGAAAAAAAGCCTGCAAATTCATTCTTTGTTATAACATACACACAACAGGGCAATGTAACGGTTGTATCGTAAAGGTTTTCAAGGTCACAGTGGCACCGCAACAGTAATTTAAAAACATAGTTAGTTCTAGGAAGCAAATCATGATATAACGTCTGCAATATCAGTTGCAACTGTAGCATTATAGAATAGAAACTAACTTCAGCACATGCTTTTGGCAGTACCAAACGACCGATCCGTCCAGCATCACTTGCACTCAAAACCTTTTCAAACAGTGGAACAACGGTGGAATTTGAACTGGAAAATTACATGGTTAAGGATTGGGTCAACAGATAGAAATGGAAAAAAAATTGTAGTCTAGCATTTTAACTCATGGTCGGGCACATAACAATAATGACACAATGGAGGATACTCTCCAGAAATTTGTTGCAATTCTTGGTTGGTTATCCTAGGCCAATAGCGAGGAAGCAACTGATTTCGTCCACGTCCCTCTGCTGGGGGCCTAGCCACTCGTATCTGGGGTACCATTCCTGCATTCAACTCCAAACCAGTTGCAAGGACCGATGTCGGGGGCTTGGGAAGAAGATGGCCAGATTTGGATGCCTGTTGCAAGACTGAAGACATCTTGCCCCTTTCATCTACGACTAAACTAGGAAGGCATTTTGGTTCCCAATGAGCCACCCAAAAATACTCAAGTTCGTTTGGGGCAGTGACTCATAAATATTAACGTTACAAGTGGTAGGCTTCACAGCTTGAACCGATCCATCAGATCCTTGATCAATATTTGACAAGGATGTGCTTCCACTTTCTCTAGCAGGAGGCAAATTTTTCTCTTGTTTCATTTGCCCAAAAGACCGACTTGAGTCATCATTGTGAAGCTGAAGCAACCGTCTCAGCCCTCTGCTTTCTGCATTGTTGCTCAACTGCATAAACTGTAGGATTTCAGTACTTGCACCACTTAATTGGTTGTCTGCAGAGGTTGAGTGCAATTGACCAGCTTCACCCTTCACTATACCAAATTCATTAGGCTTTTCATCTTCAATCATCTGTATACACATGCTTCAAAAGCATTATAAATACTTCAACTTTTACATGCAAAGGCCTACAGATCAAGAATCAATTACCGATCATCAAACAGTAAGAGACTGAACCATAGAACTAATATAACAAAGACAATTTTAGAATATAACGGCAATTATAGTGATTGCACAATAAAAGAGACCAATATTTTACGTGGGAAACCCTTTCGGGAAAAACCACTGGCAGAAGAGGAGAAAATTCACTAATGTAGAAAGAAGAAAGAAGAAGAATACAAGAGGAATCTCCATGGATAACCTGTGAGAAGACCAATTCCAAACTCTAATTTGATCTTCGAAAGAATACATAGCCTGTTTCTTTAGGAGAGGAAGGAAAGAGAAACAAAACTTGAAAAAAATATTGTAACAAAAAAGGATTGCATCCCATGGCGATAACAACCAAATAGAATTGAGATGGGGTAATATGAGTATTTTAGGGGTATACATACCCCCATAAAAATGGTCCTCATTATCCTAAACCCTACAGCAGCATCTTTTTCACAGTATTTGGCATGAGATTATAATGCAGGGCTATAATTTGATATTCTAACATGGAATAGAATGAACAAGTTGATCTTACACGGTTAAATCCAGACTTTGTAGCACAGCTTACACAGTTGATACCTCCACTATCAAGAAGCTCAAACAACTCCTTGAAGCAATACATCCACAATGGAGACGCTGCCAACACCAAAAGCATTGAGATTAAGGCATTAAGCACCATAGTGTCTACAGGGACAAGGCAACAAACTAACAATTTGGGGTCACCCCACCTTGCCACATGAAGTGCACTCCCTCCACCCAGAATCCTTTGAGTGGAACACATCACAGAATATCGATTGTTCATATGAAGACCTACAGCGAGAGAAAAACATAGATGATTGTTTCGAACAATGGCAGTCTTAAAATAGCAACATCTGGCCAAAAACCTTGGCCTTGTTTGGATTCCTCTGTTGTATTTAGCTACTTTTAACCATTGAAGAAAACAAAATTCATCAAAATATCAGTAGTTTCAATAACTGTTCCATTACCCGCACTGATCGCAGAGATTAGCAAAATCTCCAGACCGCAGAGTCCAGCCTTTTCTCCACTCAATCGACGTGGACGCGCTGCAGAGTACATTCATGCAGCTCTTTGAAGCCATACTCCAAACTTAATTCCTACAAAAATTCCATAATACAATCTATGTTTATATATGTATCTCGAAAACAGCGAAAAATCCTCTAAAGAAAGCCAATCAGTGAGCTAAAAGCAAAACAGAACAGAGTCGAAATTGGTCAAACAAGGATACTCATTAATTTAAAAAGAAACTGAAATAAAAAATATAACTTCTTGAAGAAGATAAGAGAGATCTGCTACTTGGGCGGCGTTAAATATCGTCGCGAAAGGCAAACATGCTAAATTCGCTTTTGTTTTACTCTTGCGTCTCTAAGACTTGGAGATGACGATGCTGCCTTAAAAATATATCCGCCGACAGAATCGAGAAAACGAGGAGTTTCTTCCGGCGACGGTAGAGTTAAATCGGCGACGACAAGAGGTCAGATAACAGCAAACGAATCATGTGCATGCAAAAGCAAAAGAGAGAAGAAGAAAAGAAATAGAGAGAGAAGAGTTTGGTACTTTTCAAAGATAAAAATGCATGCACGATGATACTTCAAGACTCGGCCAACTCCCACTATTTTCATTTCTTTTATCTTCCGCGTTTAGTTTACGAAATATAAAATTATTGTAAGATTATTGAGAATATTATATTTTATGTTTAATTGATTTAATAGAAATGTAAGATTATCGTATTTGGTTAAAAAATAAAAAATTATTAAAATGTATATTTGACTAAATTGTCTTTATTATATATTTATTTTTTAACAAGTTAAAAAATATTTATATATTTTATTTAAAAAAATTAAATTCATAATATTTATATATTTTTTTATAAAATTAAAAATATAAAAAAGTTTAATGAAAAGGTAAAATTTTATTTTAACTTCTGAACTTCATATAAAATTTTAATTATATATATTTTTTTGTAAATGTAAAATAGTTTA